TCTTTTTCTTTTTGTATCTGCTAACGCATTTCTTCGTCATTCTTTTTTTTTTTTTTTTTTTTTTTTCTCTTTGCTTCTTTACCACCCAACAATCATTTACACACAAGCCCACAAGTACACACGCACACACACACACCTCATAAGAGAACACACACGGACACCTCATATGAGAACTCTATATCTTTCCACCTCAACAACATCCAGCATCTACTCAACCTTCTGGTATCTTTCCACTTCCAACATCACTGTTTGTGAAGATCTAAACAGGCTAGCTCAAGCATTAACTCAGATTTTATTTAGATCTATTTGTATCCATGGTGACATGCACTGGTCAACTTTAACTACGCACGTACAAGTATGGGCACAGTAAGGTTTGTAACTTGGAATGTTAATGGAACCAGTACTCAACAAAAAAGATTAGGAATCTTTAACCAGCTTAAAAGATTACAGGCAGATGTTGTCTTTTTACAAGAGATTCATAAATCTACGACAGCTGCAGATGATCTTAAATCAACTGATTTTCCTAATGTGTTTTGTGCCTGCTATAACTCAAGACAAAGAGGCGTGGCAATATTAATACACAAAAATGTTAACTTTAAAATACTAGACACAGTCACAGATCCAGAGGGTAGATATTTAATAATAAAACTTTATATAAATAACTATAAGTTGTGTATTGTCAGTATATATGCCCCAAATGTAGATGACACCTCTTTTTTTCATGATTTTTTCTCAGCACTTTCTGATCACTTGGATTGCTCACTTATACTTGGAGGTGACCTCAACTTTGGTCTAAATGAAGAATTAGACAGATGTAGTAGAGCAGGAACTCATCGTAGTTGGCAGTCCATAAATATAGTTAAACAGTACATGAGTGATTATGGACTTTGTGATGCATGGCGATCTCTTCACCTGAATCGTAGAGAGTATACTTTCTTCTCTTCTGTCCATCACTCTTACTCTCGTCTGGATTATTTTTTAGTCAGCAGCTCGTTGTTGACGGACATCTCGGACACTGAGATTCACCCTATAGCTGTCAGTGATCATGCTCCTGTCTGTTTAAATCTAGCAAACAGAAAAGAAAACCCTAAAAGTATAAACTGGAGATTTAATACATCACTGCTTGAAGATGTAGATTTTATCAAATATTTTACAGAAGAGTGGGCTTCATATCTGGAGTACAATGACGTGCCTGGAACATCAGCATCTATTCTATGGGAGGCAGGTAAAGCTGTAATGAGAGGTAAAATAATTTCATTCTCATCACAAAAGAAGAAAAAAGAAAATAAACATATTCAGGAACTAGAAGAAACCATTAAATCGTTAGAAGCATCTCAAGATGAAGAAATGCTGGATAAAATGCGTAAAGCAAAATTGGAATTAAAAGAATGTATTAACAAAAAAACTCAATTCTTAATACAACGACTTAGAATCGAAAATTTTGAACAGAGCAATAAGTCAAGTAGCTTTCTAGCTAAACAGCTCAAAATAAATAAGGAAAAAACAACTATAGTTGGTGTTAAAGACTCGACTGGGAATACAGTTTACGATCCTGAAAGAATTAACAGCATTTTCAGAGATTTTTATAAAGACTTGTATTCGCCCCAGATAAACCCATCAGATAATGAAATTAATGAATTCCTGGATAAAATAACACTTCCTAAACTATCAGATAGTCAAACAATGGAGCTGGATTCACCACTGACACCAGTGGAACTACAGGAAGCCCTCAAAAGCATGTCCAATAAAAAGGCTCCAGGTCCAGATGGATTCCCAGCAGAATTCTATAAAGAATTCTGGAATATCCTGGCTCCACTATTTCACAAAATGCTACAAGAAACTGAGAAAAATAACAGTCTTCCAAAAAATATAAATTCTGCCAACATTAGTCTCCTGTTAAAACCAGGCAAAGATCCTGTATTACCTACCAGTTATCGTCCCATATCTCTTATCAACGTTGATCTTAAAATAATTTGTAAAGCCCTCTCAAAAAGATTAGAAAAGGTAACTCCTCTAATAATACATCCAGACCAAACTGGTTTTATAAAAGGGAGACATTCATCCACAAATTCACGCAGGTTATTTAATTTAATAGATTATTCTTACAGTAAAAATATTGAAACTGCAATATTCTCTCTAGATGCAGAAAAAGCTTTTGATAGAGTTAACTGGAAATTTTTATTTGCAGCCTTACATAAATTTGGTTTTGGAAATTATTTCATAAATTGGTTACAAATATTATACAGTTCTCCATCAGCATGCATTAGGACAAACAATCAAATATCTGCTAGTTTTGCTCTGCAAAGGGGAACCAGGCAGGGATGTCCACTCTCCCCCTCACTGTTTGCTATTTTCATCGAACCGCTAGCCGCAGCAATCAGGCAAACTACAGATATTAAAGGCATAAAATGCAAGAACATAGAGCACAAAATCAGTCTATATGCTGATGATGTGCTGCTCTTCCTCTGGCATTCACAAACCTCCATCTCTCAGGTTATTGGACTGATAAACTCCTTCTCAAAAGTTTCAGATTACTCTATAAACTGGCTAAAATCCACAGTTCTACCAATTAATTGCTCTTTCAACAATTCACTTACTACACAACTGCAATCAGGGAATATTACATATTTGGGTATCAAAGTTTCGCCTAAATTAGCAGATTTAACAAAACTAAACCACACCCCACTTTTAAAGAAAATTGAGGATGATCTGGCTAGATGGAAATCTTTACCCATATCTCTCATGGGAAGGATCGCATCAATAAAAATGATGGTTTTGCCTAGAATAAATTATTTATTCTCAATGATCCCAAATAAACCATCATCTGACTGGTTTAGATCCCTGGACTCCTCTATTTCTAAATTTCTGTGGAAAGATAAACGCCCTCGTATTAGATTAAAAACACTACAGAAATCCAAAGATAAAGGAGGACTAGAATTACCCAACTTTTATTATTATTTTCTAGCCAACAGGCTAGAATACATCTCAAGATGGATAAAACACACACCCCTTGATGAACCCTGGCTAGACGTAGAACAGACACTTTGCAATAAGATAATGATCTCGGACCTTCCATTCATTAGCTCAAACATAAAACGACAGGAATGCTTTAAAAGCATCAATATCAGCTCCTCTCTGACAGCTTGGTGGGAGTTTCTTAAAATGACAGAGTCTTCACTAATCCCATGTAAACGTACACCCATCTGGAACAACCCTGACATCCTACAACAGAATAAGATGATAAACTTCCCAGGTTGGAGGTGTAAAGGAATTGAATATTTGGAACATATATATGTAGAAGTGGACTACATCCCATTTAACAGATTAATTACACAATATGGGATTGATAAGAATAAATTTTTAGAATATCAACAAATTAAATCTATAACCAAAAATAAATTTAACCTTAATAACACTAGGATTGAAATGTCAACAAGTGTATTAGAATTCCTTAATCTTAACCCTCCCAAATTACTATCTAAGGTTTATCAGAAACTCAGTAAAATAGATGAAGCTATATCTCTTCCCATTGTAAAATGGGAGACAGACTTGTCAGTTAATTTGGACCAAAACTTTTGGTCGCAGATCTGTCTGA